AATCATTTTGTGCTTTTAGGATCATTACAACTAAAATAACAAAGCACAAAGAAGACAGGTGATAAGATTATAATCAGCAATCTGTTACTCCCCGGAAGCTTTAGAATATACTTATTATGCACACAAAAAAATTAAAAAACACTACAGAAATAAAAATATATTATCAGACAGTTATAAACAACATATGATGTTATCATATTGATTATTATAAGGCAAAAGAGACCCAAATATTTGGGAACAATGAAAATATCCTGTGTCAATAGCTGCCATATTGCCTAAACTATAATTCCTGCACAATTAACACTGCGATGAAGTCAAAGAATCCCCATTCTACTTCAATTTGCTTTGAACAAGGGTTGAGTGGAGACCGGAATTCAGAGTAGGTAAACTGCATCCAAAAGACTGGCAGTTCAAACCTCCTCAGAAGGAAGGTTGGGCAATCTATTTCTGTAGTGATACCGCCTTGGAAACCCAAGGAGGGGTTGCTATGAGTCAGGTCTGACTCGACGGCACCTAAACAACAACAAACTGCATCTGCCTTATCTTGGATGGAAGTGTGTTTTTCATTATTTTTCATTATGCTGATGATTATAAAGCTATTTGGTGCAGAGCCTGAGGCATCTGACTGCTAACCAGAAGGCTGGTGGTTCAAACCCACCAGCCACTTCTTGGAAGGAAAGTTGGGCAATCTACTTCCATAATGACACTGCCTCGGAAATCCAAGGAGGGTGTGCTATGAGTCAGATCCAAGTCCATGTCAGTGAGTTGTTGTTTTTTTTTTTTTTTTTGGGGGGGGGGTAAGGTGGGGTCTAAGAATCTCCACTGGCCAACATATACATGGACTACCAAAGCTCTCTAGACTCAGAATATATTTTAGTTAAATAATAATGGCTAATATTTCTGAGTCTGTGCCATTAATATATGCTGATACTGAAAGTAAGGGGCCTGTGTTCAGAAATCATACTCTTACTGATGATGCTACATCGCTTTCTTTTAGCTATACAAGTTTACGAAATTCCTTGGGTAGTGTCAAGAATTAATCTATTCTAGCACATACATATACTGAAATGGACTGTTAGCTAAGAGGGCAGAATCTGACATTATTTTTCTAGGTCCAAATGTCCTCTCCAAGATTTATTCTGCATGATTTTGTACATGCTTTTTAGCTTCTCTTCTTTAGTCTATGGGTCTTAGTTTTCCTTATTTGAAAAATAGTTCATATTTAAGGAATTTAATGGCCTATCACATGTAAAATATATAATGTTGTGCCTAGTACACAGATAATGTAAATATCAGCTAATATTGTTATTAGAGTCATACAGTTGGTAGACATTTGTTGTTGTAGTTGCCTAGACCTTAAGTTTCATGAAATCATTATTTTTCTATGTATGCATACACATGAATGACATATATAAAATACACACACACACACACACACAATATAATTAGGAGCTCTGGTAGCATAGCGCCTAAGGCACTTGACCACTAAACAGAAGGTTGGCGGTTCAAACCCACCAGCCACTCCTCGGAAGGAAGACTGGGCAATCCTATTTCTGTAGTGATACTGCCTCAGAAACCCAAGGTGGGGGTTCGGTATGAGTCGGTGCTGACTTGACGCACATAACAACAACAACAACAAACATAATAAAATTATGAAGAATTCTACAAAGTACTAGCCACTCAACTACTCAAAACCAAAGTTTCAGATCTGCTGAGGCTGCTACAATTTAAAACGCCGCATGTTCAGTCAATTTTTGAAATGCATGCTGTCTTAAGAAATTCAGCAGTTACAGAGAATCCAGGCAAAATTCTGCAAGAGTAGCTTTTCTTCTAAGTATACTGACAATATGAATTTGATTATTAATCAAGTATCAACATATCTGCTATATATTGAGCCATATTCTCCTAGTTACTAATATTCTCTTTGGTCATAGTGTAGGAAGTTTTTTAGAAATGAATAAATAACTCTTTCAGGATATGACACAGCATACAGGAAGTAATGAGGTTTCTTCAAACATGACTTAGATCTCAAGCAAAACAAGGAGCAATCCCCATGAACACACACTCCACAACAAAAGAAGAGAACACTAACTCAAAGTTGTATAATGTTTTCTTCATTATAAAAATGCTCAAAGGATATGAAACCAAAATGAAGAAAGTAAAACATAATGAGACATAACAATACAGTGATTTGAATCTTTATCTCTGCATTCAGAAGATTTCATGGTGTACACATTTTCTAAATTACTGCTCTTCACACATATGTGTTTCATTTCTGAGCACACTTAGGTTTCTGGAATACCATAGCTACAAGGGTCCAGTTTTGTGTCTTTTGTTCTATCCTGTAGTATTTTATTACCTGCATCCTATTTGTCATCTGAACGAACCTCTGCCCAGATCTCCCCATCATCATCCACTCTTTCATTCAATTAAAAAGAATATAAACACTGAATTAAGTTTTGTTCTTTGATGATTAAAACATTCACAAAAGCAAGGACACAAACACCAAGTTCATCAAAGAGTATTTAACCTATGTAAGAAAAACGTGGTATCAGGATTGGAGGAAGAATCATTAACAACCTGAGATATGCAGACGATACAACTTTGCTTGCTGAAAGGGAGGATGACTTAAGGCACCTACTGATGAAGGTTGAAGAATACAGTCTGCAGTATGGATTACATCTCAACATAAAGAAAACAAAAATCCTCACAACTGGACCAATGAGCAGCATCACAATCAATGGAGAGAAGATTGAGGTTGTCAAGGAATTCACGTTGCTTGGTTCTACAATCGATGCCAACGGAAGCAGCAGTCAGGACATTAGACGACGTGTAGCATTGGGAAAGTCAACTGCGAAGGAACTGTTTCAAGTGCTGAGGAGCAAGGATATCTCCTTGAGGACTAAGGTGCGCCTGACACAAGCCATGATATTTCCAATCGCCTGGTATGCATGTGAGAGCTGGACAATGAATAGGGAAGACTGAAGAAGAGTTGATGCTTTTGAGTTGTGGTGCTGGCGAAGAATGCTGAAAGTACCATGGACTGCTAAAAGAACTAACAGATCTGTCCTGGAGGAAGTGCAGCCAGAATGCTCCTTGGAAGCAAGAATGGCCAGACTTTGTCTCACCTATTTTGGTCATGTTGTAAGAAGGGACCATTCCCTGGAGAAGGATGTCATGCTTGGTAGGGTGGAGGGTCGACGAAAGAGGGGGAGGCCTTCAACGAGATGGATTGATACAGTGGCTGCGATGATGGGCTCGAGTATAGCAGGGATTGTGGGGCTGGTGCGGGATCGGGCAGTGTTTCGTTCTGCTGTGCATGGGGTCGCTATGAGTCGGAAACGACTCGACGGCACTTAACAACAACAACAACAGGTTGAAATATTGTTATTACCTTAAATAGAATGCCACTGGGCAGAAGTGTTGAAATGCCAATAACTAATACAGATTAGAAAAGCAATGTAATTCAGTACAAAAACTGTTGTTTCTTTCCTAAACTCCCTTATTTGAATTACAGAAGATGGTAGGTGGAAACATTCTGAAAGACTGGATGGGAATAATAAGCTTTAGAAGTTGGTGGGACTTCAACATCTTTTCAACTTTATTTTAGAAAATATGGTTTGTCTTTTCCTTGTTATCAGAAGAATAGTACCTCTATTTCTAGCAACCTGGTAAGAGTTATCAATGGGGGTGGGGTAAGAGGGTGGAGAGGGCTGACTGAAAAAGCATCCAAATAAAAAATGTAAGAGGAAAACAGTTAAACAAGGGAAAAACAAGAAGTCAATGCTGAATACAGAAGCCTTCCATTTACCATCATGTAACGTCCCCATCAAACCACACTAGCTCTGCCTTTCCTTCCCCGTACAGTTCAACATTTGCTAGTGTGGCAGCAGTAGCTAACACCGAGTGACTGATACAGGCCAGACACTTACTCTACCGTGTACTTTAAATGTGTCATCTCACTTGATTCTCAGCTCAATTCCATGTACAACTACTATTATCCATATTTTATAGAGAAGGAATTTTATGGAGATTCAAAGAGGAGAACTGGCTTTCCCAGAGTCACACACAGTGAGTAGCAAGGATTTAAACCAGGGTGTGTGTCAGGAGTCCTTTGGTGGTACAAAAAGCACTTAACTGCTAACAGATAGGCTGTAGGTTCAAGTCCACTCAAAGATGACTCAGAAGAAAGGTCTAGTGACCTACTTCCAAAATATTAGCATGGAAAACCCTATGGATCAAAGTTTGACTCTGATACCATGGGATCATCATGAATCAAAATCGACTCGATGGCAACTGAATGATAGAGTCCGGGGCCTACCTGGTAACTACTACCTCCTACCCCTATATTTCAGTGATCAGTAAGACCACCCACACTGAGAATGTTTATGTAATAATAGGATAATAGTAGACAATTAACTGCCATTCAGGACCAATAGTACTCACTGATGGGCATTTCAGACACAAGTAAGCCATAATTATTATTTTACTTATTCGTAACATTTTATGTCTCAGCAATAAGAAATTTTCTGCTTATTTTTTGCAGCAACTATCATATAAACACAAGACCATAAATACATTATTTTCAAAGTGAGTAGTGCATTTATGACCCAATATATTTACTATCCAAAAAAAAAAAAAAAACTCACTGCCATTGAGTCATTTCCAACTCATAGCGACCCCCCTTTGGGTTTCCAAGGCTATTAATCTTTACAGAAGTAGATAAACCATTAAAAAAAAAAAAAACTTCATACAAATTTTAATGTTTCTCAGCACAATTTCCCTCTTAAATTGTACATCAAAATTCTTAGTACGCCTCTTCTAGTTTTTCACTTAGAATAAAATTATTGGATATTGAATATTATTGAAGTAGTTTAATTCAGGATCTCTGTACTGTTATCTGATTGCTAGGTTTGTTATCATTTTATTTGATCTGATCTGCAGAACTCTCCTTAAGTAGGTAGAACTGAGGGACAAAGAACAGATGTCAGCTATCTTACCTGTTTAAGAGCCTTTTTGGTGTGTTGCTGAAAGGAAGACACTAACTTGCTTTGTACTGCTGTGTTAGTAAGGCTTGAATCTCGAGTGGAAGACGCTTCATCAGTTACCTGCTTTGCACAAACTAGAAACAGAGAGAGATAATGATATTACTAATTTGAATTCCTTTTTTATATCCACTGTAATTAACTCACATGAAGCTTTTCTCCAACTGAAAATGGATACTTAAAATAAAGCAAAATAGCTCAGTAAAGAGAAAAGAATATATATTTCAAGTGAGAGGATCATTTAATAACTGTGTGGCCACAGTTACAAGACATTTAACCTCTCTAAGCCTCCATCTCCTCATCCACTAATTGATAATGATAATTTCCATGTCATAGGACTATTGTGTAGACATTTAAAGAAAAAAAAACCTAGCACTATGTGGCCCAAGAGTTGAGATCAATAGATAGTAATTGAATCCGAATACAGAGATTGGACAATGACGAGTATTCTGCAGAAACAAATCTAAATTCATGAAATTGTTTTCAATCAACCCAGCCCCACAGGTTAAGACTCTTCTATTTACCAGCCTTCCCTCCACAGAATCTATGACTTTCTGTGGCATGTTTATCCACTCTTATGGGCCAAGTTCACATAGCATGAAGAGGAAAAAATTAAATCCAAGATGCTAATTGTCCATTCAAGACAAGTATTTTCTACATAAATCAGCCCATTTACCAGAGTTGGACTTCTCTGCTGCATATCCTATAGAAGATATTATTTTGTTTTCCTGAAAAAGAATGATTTTTAAGAGAATGGATGTCTCCTTGCCATGGCTGACTTAGAAGCCCACAGACTTCTGTTCTCAGAAACTCATGTTGGAGCAAAAACTCTCCAATTGGTCCTCCTCTCACATTCCACTTAAGAGACTAGGTTTAAAACTGAAGTACTGTGGATGCAGGCCCTTTTCTGCGTAAGCTAGAGAAGCAGGAATTACCAGGAAAATCAAAGTGAGAAAGTACTAGGGTGAGTAGCAGAATGGAGGTTCATGTAAAAGATATGAGGCAAGAGTCAGTAGCCAAGTGCTTTACAAATGAGATCTCATTTATCTTTGAGGCTTCCTTGTAAGATAGTAAGTTATGATCTCCATAGTGGAGACAGAAAATGGGTTCAGAAAGGCTAAATCACTTGACAATGGACAAATTAACAATGAAACACCAGTGCTGGTCTCCAAAGCCAGGCTGGATTAGCCCTATAGCCTATGATTTTTCAACTTACATTTATTATCTCAAAAGCTAATAGTCAGTGTCAAAGGAAGTATAATTTGGTTGCATCATGTTGGATGTACTGATACAGGACACTAATAAAGTCAAGGGAACAAAGCATTCAGAACCTAACATGAAAAAACTGAGAACTGTGGGAGAGAATGATGGGCCCAGGAAATACTATGGTTGAAGTAGGGAAAGGATTTGCCAATGGACATAGTGAGAGAAGTCCCTGAAATAAACAGCGTCTAACTTTCTTCTGGGAGCTCTGGTAGCATAGTGCCTAAGGCACTTGACTGCTAACCAGAAGGCTGGTGGTTCAAACCCACCAGCCACTCCTTGGAAGGGAGATGGTGCAATCTACTTCCATAGTGATACTGCCTTAGAAACCCAAGGAGGGGTCGCTATGAGTTGGGGCCGACTCGACGGCACATAACAACAACAACACAACTTTCTTCTATTTAATGCAATATGACACTCTTCCTTATGACAATCTAAATATCTCATAAATTTACATTTTATAACACTGCTTGCATAAAATATGGCATCTAAGCTCCTCTCCTGGAAATGATCATTAGAGTATTCTGTAATATGTTTTCCAGACTTATCAAAAAACATTGGAAACAATCATCAGTTTATATTCCAGAGATAAACCTATTTTGTATACTGATTACACAGATGGCCTTCTCAACATTCTGATGTCTCTCCAAAGTATGACAAACTGGGGAGATGAGAGAGAGAGATGGCGGACAGGATATACAAACCCAAGTGAATAGACCTAAATGGATGAAATGGAAGCTCAGCCAGGAAAGTAAAGTGTGAGTTGGCAAATGGGTTTTATTACTTTCAGATTCTTTGAGTAGTATTTCTACCTAGAAAACTGGAAACTGACTGATGGTTAAAAAAGGAAAACCAAATGTACTTCATGGATCTTATTAAATTTATGCAAACTATGAGCATGTTTATGCATAGTAGACATTAAAATTCAAACTTATTACTGATTTGCTTTGGAAATACTTTTATGTGTAAGTCTCTCGAAGGCAATCTTCAATGCAGCAGGACCAAATAACAACAAATCATGAATCAGTGTGTATGTGATCGAGGCCTCACTTACTTCCCTGGAATGTTCTGGCTGCCAATGTAAGAGCACAAGCAGCTGTCCTTCCTGAGAACAAGAGCTTTCTAGCTCACAACCACGCAATTTCTCTGATCGGGACACCAAAGGACACTGTAAGACCTATTTCAATATCAGGACCTATGCTTTGTATTTTGGTTTAATTTTATTACTGCACTGTTTGGATAGTAATTCACATACATATGGTGTTTCCAAAAGAAAGATTCTCTTCAGTGTAGAGCCCAGAACTTCAGATGGAGGACAGGATAATAGAGCTGCAACAACAGGAAATACTACTAAGTTTGTTCTCAAAATGATTGATTTTCCTTTAACCCAACTGTTTACTTTATCGTACACTTCATCTTAGACTCAACTGAAGCATCGTGAGAATTCCTGCACTGGTAGACATTTTCCTTCCTGATTCCTTTTTCCAGAACTTGGTCCTGACTCCTCTTTCTCTTTCTTACTTTTTTTTTTTTTTGGCTTAATTACTAGTTTCTTTATAATAAATATACAATCCCAAAGAAAAATAAAACATAATATTGTGGCTGGATGGATCCCTAAAACGTTTGCCTTCTGATAATCTTTAAACCTTAAACCAAAAATATTCCCTGAAATCATCTTTAAACCAAGCAATAAAACATCAAAAACCAAACTCATTGCCATAGAGCTGATTCCAACTCTTAGTGACCCTACGGGACACGGCATGAACTGGCTCATAGTGTTTTAAGGTTATAATCTTTATGGATGCGTATTTTTCTCCTATGGAGGGGCTGGTGGATTTGAACCACTGACCTTTAAGTTAGCAGTCAAGCATTTTAACCATTGCACCACTAGGGCTCCTTCAACCAAACAACAGTTAAGCTTAAAGAGTAACTAGCTTGAGCATCTTGCTCTTTTAAAGGACTATATGGGATCAAATTGACAATAGCAATTCAAAAGGTTAGATAGGAAGATGGTGGGGGTAGGGGGCAGTGTTTATGTTAATAGGGGAGGAACAATTTGGAAAAGGTGAGAATGGTGGCACAACTTGAAGAATGTAATCAATATCACTGAACTGAATGTGTAGAAATCACTGAATTGTGTCTATGTTTTGCTGTGTATATATTCAACAGTAAATTTTAATTATGTAATAGAAAATAAAATCTACTACAGACTGTTCCCTTGGAGAGGGGGAAACCTTAATTTTTAAAAAAAAATAATAATCAAGAAAAGAAATGGACAGGGCACACACATAGTGGACTGAAAGCAGTGTGGAAGAGGGCGTGTGTGTGTGTGTGTGTGTGTGCATATATATTTCTCTTCAAGGAGCCCTGGTGGTGTAATGGTTAAAGCACCTGGCTACTAACCAGAAGGTTGGTGGTTTAAACCCACCAGCAGCTCTGCAGGAGAAAAGACCCGGCAAACTGCTCCCATAAAGGTTACCATCTAAGGAACCCTATGGGGCAGTTCCAATCTGTCATATTGGGTCACTATGAGTTAAATCAGCACTATGGCATACAACAACAATAACATATATATATTTGAAGGACTGACGAATTTGGGCTTTTCATATGTGCAGAGGAGTCACTTCATTCGCTCGCTCACTATGTTTATGACATGTGGATGCCCAAACCTAAAACCACTGACTTGCTTAGTAGATGGATTATCCAGGTTCATGCAGATTCACATTCTGACAACACACAGTTTTCTCTTTTAATTATTCTTGGAGCTCTCTTAGTAATAGATATGACAAATAGATAATGTAGGGTCCATTTTAAACAGCTGCCTGAACGTCTACCTAAAGGACTGAGCTTTGTCTCTTAAATGCAAGCCAAAGAGAAAAGAACGTGAAAAAAGGATCAGGGAAAATCCCTTGTATGTTAAATTACAACAGAAGCGAGGACACTGAAAAATTAGGACAGATGTTTCATCCAATAAATATCACGCACTGACATGAGGCTTAGAAAGTGATATCTTCTTGGCATGCAGAACAGAATAAGCTATTTTTTCTAAACATGTGTTGGCATGATCACAAACTCATGCCAATACTTTATATCTCGAAACCCCACAAGAATGCTTGCACTTTGTGTAGATGGACAAACTGAAGATGAGAAAATAAAAACGAGAGTATCAGTTCTCCATGGAACATTTATCATTCAACATTTTTAAAAAGGGTATAGAAAAGGCACAGAAGTCCATTTACATTGTGGTAGTCAGGCTAAAGGAGGCGAGCCAAAAACACAGTCACAGCTAATCTGATGGTTTTAAATTTAAACTGTTTTGTCGGATTTTCAGTATTTGCCATTTCTCTACTCTCACTCAAACTCACACTCCTAAACTTCTACCCCAAAATATTCTATTTAGAAGACTGTGAACAAACAATGGTAGAGGATTTCAAGTAACCATGAGGCAGCCTTGGAAGCCAGGGAAACCAGTGGCTGTGTTCCAGCAAGACTGTGGGTTTCATTGTCTTTCCTCAAAATTTTCTAAGTTACTCCTCTCGCTCTTTTTCATTCACCATTCAACTTGAAGTGCAACTGAACTGGAAAATGAGGGTTAGAGTTCTTATTTTTAAAGTTGAGTGCTGGAGCAAAACATATAGGTGGGACTCCCTCTTAATGTAATTAATAATCCCCTGGTAGGTGTAAAATAGGGCAAGCCTAAAATGAGTTTTGGCTTTTAACCCAAGACACAAGAGAAAAATCAGGATGTAAACCTGCTTCTGTCTCTGTTTCTACTTTTACATTTTGGATACCTTCCCCACTCAAACCATGTAAT